ATGAATCGGGCGACCCCTGTGAAAGGGTCATTCAACCCCTGAAGGGGTCGAGACCCACACGTTGAGAACCGCTGTTCTAGGCCATGGTCCCTTTGAGTTTCCTAGACAGCAACTCTTTACTGAGTAGAAAGCCCCGTTCTCCATGCTGATATGTAAGTTCCACCTAACGCACAATACAACATTTAAAAATATAGATATGAGACAAGGTTTATTGGTTGGATAGAGATGGATGAGATAATGGCTTCTAAGTTACTTGTCTAGCCTGGAACTGAACTCACCCCTGCGGCTCAATTTTCATCCCAATAGTAGCTCTGTGGACCTAGGAAAACAAGGACATCATCACTCTCCTAGGGAGCACAGGCCACAGGCGCTTGCCTGCTTGACATAAGCTGAAGCAGACTCCGTGGTAACTGGCTCATCTCATTCACTCATTCATTCGAGGAGCCCTTGTGGTGCAGTGGTTACTCGTTGGGCTGCTAACTGTAAGGTTGGCCGATCAAGACCACCAGCCCCTCTGAGGGAAAAATGGGGCTTTCTACTCTTGTGAAGAGTTACAGCCTTGGAAACCCACAGGGCTGTTCTATAGGGTCGCTATAAGTCGGCATCAACTTGATGGCAGCAAGTTTGGATTGGTAGACTGCTGGGACCATCACGGGAGCAAGGGAAGGGAAGGGCAGTGGCAGGCTCTGAGAGGTCAACAGTGTCTGCCAGAGCCTCCCATTGCTGGAGAGTGGAGCCAAGGGACCAGGTAGAAGACAGATGGTATAGGAGGGGGCATAGACAGATGCAACATTCCAGCTGGGGCCTGTGACTGAGGGCAGCAGGCATCTGGTCTGCCAGCCTTGGCCTGTGGCACAGGCGTATACTGGCAGAAAACGGTATCCATGGTGACCCGTTTTAACTCGCTGGATAGTCTCACGTAGCTGTGGGCACAAAGTGCCATTGCCAACACAAACTGCTCCGTGACATCCAGGGCACGTACTGCACCTGCTGTGCCCTGGATGCGACTCTGGCACCCTTGTGCCCTGCTTTTGAGTCCTACCTGGTGGCATAGTGCTTACTAATTGTAAGCTTAGCAGTTCAAAACCACCAGCAGGAGAAAGATGAGGGTTTTTGCTCACATAGTCAGTCTTGGGAATTCACCAGCACACCTATTCTATAGGGTGGCTGTGAGGGAGTTCATTTACCTTGTCTTAGATCGCAGTGTTGTCCAGTTTAGTCACTTGCTTCTGGTGCTGCTGACTTTACCACTTCCCCTTCTGGTGTCTGGACATCGTTGGCTGGAGGCCTGGTTGCCTCTGGAGAGTCATTGGATTTGAGATGACCGAGGGCCCACACCTCCTAGGACACCTGGGGGCTCGGAGGGAGTTGGGAGGTCTCCCACTTGACTTGCATTATGGATGGGTCTGTGGGTCACTGGGGGCAGGCAGGTGGGCAGTGGAAGCCCAGCTAAGGCAAGGCAGTGACTTGAGAGAACTTTCCAGTGCTTGGCCAGTTGCTGGGAGGACTGCCCCTACTGCCGACAGGAGCCACACAGGCCCTATACCTGGGTCCCCGCAGCTGGACTGGGAGTCCTGCCAGCCTTTTCGACCCCTGGTCCCACCTGGCTCCTAGCGGCGCCACTGGCCACACAGCTGCCAGTTTACCATACACAGGAATTTGAATTCTCAGACCACCAGGACATTGGCTGCCCTCTGCTATTGGCCAATCCTGAGCTGCCTGACTTTTCCTAAAAGTCACCTTAAACATGCTCACTGTATACCAAGTTCAAGAAAAGCCTACAGGGAGAGAAGGGGCAGGGGGAAGCCCACCATTCATAGCCTTGCCTTCAGAAATGACCAGCAATGACATCTTGGCAGACTTGTTTGCGGGGCTCCTGTCTCCAGCTCTGGTCGGTGTTCCCGACCAGCCTGTAGGCCAACACCCCGGTTCAGACTGCACTGCTGAAGGGGCTTGAGCCTAGCCACTTCCATGACCTGGGAGAGCAGAGGCCAGCTGGCCAAGGAACACAGGACGCATTGGCAGGGTTTTTGAATCACCTTTATTAACACTCAGCTCAGTGAGCCCCCAGGAAGCCCCAGAGGCATCGCAGAGAAAACTGTGCAGCTGCCTTGAGCACAGATTGGCAAAGCTCAGTGTGTTTGGCAAAGTTGGGGGGGTGGGGGTTGAAGAGTGGTGAAAAGCTCAGGACACCCCCCCTCCCCACCCCCCACATTAGTTCCAGACACAGACTCTCCAACCCAACCCACAGCTGGTTCTGCATGGGCCCACTAATTCCCCCTGGGTTCCGCGGGGTGGGTGGGGCCTCCCATGCACTGAAGACAAGGATTGGGGCCACACACCTTGATGAGACTGCTCCCCGAAGGTGATGAGACCTCGGGGCACCCACACAGGGCTGTGCCACCCAGGTGGGACATCACCCTTCTCCTCCCAGACCTTGAGAAGGCCGGGCAGGTCTTGCATGGGACTCTGGCCTCCTAATGGCTTTGAACTCACCCACAGGGACCCTGTCCTCTTGGCTCACCCCGGCTGACTCAGTTCTGGGAATCTGAGGTTCTGGTAAGGACAGAGGCCCCGTCTCTAGCCTCTGTGCTTCCTAAGAGTTAGCACCTGTGGCTCCATTCTTTCCCACAACTACTGACCTATACGAACAGACAATTATCTTACATAATTCATTCCCCCCTCCCCCCTGACTCTATCTGTGTGGTCCCCTGAAGTGCAGGCATTCCAGGGGCTCCGCTACAGACTCACTCGGTGTGACCACTGAGCCTTACAATGATGGACAGTGACTGCTCTCTCTGCCCAGCGGGCCTGAACGACTGCAGGTGGTCTGTCTGCTGACCCCTGCCAGACTAGATTGGGAGGTGGGGGTACAAGGACAGCCCCCACCGGGGCAGAACAAATCTTCACCATCATCACAAAAGGGCAGTGTGGGCAGCTGCCCATTGGGCTATCCCACTCCCCTACCCAACCCCCCCCACCCCCCACCAGTAGGACTGGAACGCCACCGAGGCAGCAATAGTCAAAAGACACGGCAGCGGCGGGTGAAATGGGAGCCAAGAGAACTCCTCACTCAGGGGATAGGCCTGTAGGTGGGGGTTGAGCCACATCCCCAGGCCTGGCCTGCCCCTGGCATGCAGCTACGTGTGGAACTCAGGCCTCTAGCAGGGTTCCGAGGCCAAGCAAGGGCCTGGCTGGTCCTAGCTAACAGGACCTGTGCTGAAGGCGTTAGCCCTGGGCTAGGGTGTTCACTGGTAAGGCCTGTTCCAGACAGGAATGAGGGCTGCATGCCAGGGGTAGGAGGGACTCCTGAACAACTGGTTCTCCATCCTGAGGGCTGGGCGAAGGCCCCCCTATCGGCCATCTCCTCTCCAGGGGACTAGCCGCTCTGTCTGGGGGAAGAAGCGCCTTCCGCATGCCTTCTCTGTCCCAACACTCCCAAGCCCCAGGGACGTGGCTTTCTGCTCGCCACTTGTCCCTCAGGTGGCCTCTAACTCATCCCTGCAGGCATGTCCCTTGTCTTCTGTGACCTTCCTAGTCTCCTTGCAGGCATGGCCCTTGTCTTCTGTGACCTTCCAAGTCCCCTGGGCCCACTGAGTCCTAGGGTGCACTGGCAAACAGGTGGGGGGTTATCACAGCTGATAAAAGGGTGTGTCAAGCAGGCCACTCTGGTGGTCAGGTGTGGGGTGGCGCAGGGCTGAGGGCTGCCAGGCCCCCGTGAACATGAAGGGCTGTAGTCAACAAAGAGGCCCAGTGGCCCACAGGCTGAACTCTGACCCAGCCACCAGTCTTCTAAGCCATGCTTCTTGCCAAGGAAATCAACAGTGATACAACATATTCTGGAACATGCTAACCCAGCAGCACTGGGGGAAACCTTCAGGGCCCCCCCTACCCCAACTTGTTCCCTCAGTTTTGGGTCTAGCGAGTGACTCAAACTGCAGGGCCAAGAGTGGGAAGAGTTGAAGGGGTGGGGCAAGGTCCCCCCGGAAACCCGTGATCCCCATCTCCCAGGGCAGGGTGAATGTTCCTGACACTCACTCAAGACTGCACATGCGGGCATCTGGCCATCCTGGCACACAGCAAAGAGGAGAGAGAGGGACTGGGCCTAACACTGGGCACAGCGACGGGGGCCCCTGTTGATCTAACACCCTAAGGACGCCTGCTTGAACCCACCACATGGGCAGGGTCCAGACCCCCGTCTGGCTTAAGGCACTTCAGTGGCTCAGTCAACACCACCTTTTTGGAAAAGATTTTGTTTTGATCTTGATTTAGACCAAAAAAAAAAAAAGTAATAAAAAATTATTAAATACTAATTCAGTAACACTGCAAAAGAGGTTTCCCCAGAATATAGCAAAAAAAAACACAACACAACAAAACACAACACAATCAAAAAAGCTCCCCCAACGTTAAGTCTTCCGAGGAGTAATAACTGCTAAAGCGCTGCTTAAATTATATGGCACGACAACTTGGCACGTCAGCTGAAACACTGCTTCTGAGTTAGAGCTGCCTCCGGAGCAGACACACACACAGACAGGTGGGAGTCCCAGGGGAGGGGGCTCCCAGGCCCGAGACTGTTAAGTGCCCATTTCTCAATGAGGGCAGTGGCCCCGCTCTGGGAAACCAGCCCAAATGGCCAACCAGAGGGGGTCTAGGAAAGGGCCAGGAGCTGGGTGAGGATGGGACACGCCCCACATCATCTTCTCCTCCCAGGTTTCCTCCTGAGACCTTTGGCTGTCCCTCCCCCGCCCACCCCCCATCTACTACAAACAGGGTGTGCACGCCCCCTGCCACCCAAAGGATGCACAGTCCCCCAGCCTGGGGCAGGCACTAAGCAAGGGCTCTGGCAGGGGGTGGGTGGTGGCGGTGGTAGGCGTGTGGGTGTGGGTTCACACACACAGCCCCGCCCACTCCGTTCCTAAGGCAATGGAGGGGCAGAGTCACAGGGCAAGGTGGGGAGGGCAGGGCCCGCGCCCCCCAGCTTCTTGGCACCATTCAGCTCCGAGGGCTCAGAGTGCACAGCTCCCGCCTCCAGGGGCCCAGCCTTCAGCACGTCCTGGGGGTCCCTGAGGAAGACCACCAGGACGGTGATGTTGTCTCGGGAGCCCTGCTCCTGGGCGGCTGCCACCAGCTCCTTTGCCACGTGAAGCCCACTGCCCTGGTGCCGGGCCAGGTGGTTGTGGACAAGGCCCATGGCATCCTCGGGGGACACGAAGTCAAAGAAGCCGTCGCAGGCGAGGAGCAGGTAGTCCTCGGAGCCGGTCAGCTCCCGGGAAGCCGCGTCTGCCTCGGACGACACGTAAGGCTTCTGGAAGATGTCCCCTGGGCAAGGGAGAGGACAGAGCCTGGGCCCGCTGCCTTCTCATCAAACTGCCAGGTGCACAGAGCTCGGAGCGGAGACCGGTCATGGCCACCCCAACTTCACGGGGGCGCGAAGGGGGCCGAGCAGCCCAACACTGCAGGCTTCCTTTGGGATCCCCACAGGCAGCTGCTCCCACCAGCTCACTGCTCTCCCACAGTGCTCAGAGGAAAGGCCTGGCAGAGCTCTCCCTGGACCTGCGCACGGGAGGGTGGAGGTGGGGGGTACCCGGAGCTGGGGTTGACATGACAGGACCTGGCCAGGGCTGGGGGGCAGGTTTTAGCCGTACGAATAACGACCTCATGCCCGGTGGGGCTGGCATGGATGCTGAGGAGGGCAGTGCAGTAGCACGCTGTGTGGAACCTGGGACAGCCCCCCTCGGGTGCTCTCACCTTGGGGTGGTGTTGGGTCACTGCCTGCAGCTCAGCTCCGAGGCACTACCTCCTAGCCTGTCTGGGGCCCTCGAAACGCCTCTGGAAGGCCTGCTGTTCTCAGCAACCCCAGGCACCTCTGAGTCTCTGCTTCTCAGGCCTCACTGAGTTAGGGTGTGCGCCCCCCCTTCCCAACTGTTCACCCTGACCCAGGTTCCCCCACTCCTCCCCAGCTCCCGCCTCAGCAGCCCCAGGGCGGCTAGAAGTTCTCACTGACCCCCTGGCTCCTGTGTGGTAAGTGGCTGGCACTGCCTAATGGCAGGGGAAGGCAGTCCAGGTGGAGCCCTTCCTAGCCCCTCTTGACACAGGGCATCTAGAGAAAGGAGGGCAGGCGCAGCAAGGGGGCCACACCAGCCCAGCACGGATGGTTTGTCTCCGGGGCTCTGGAGGAAGGAGGTGATTTCTGAGGTGTGGCTGCTGGGCCCTGGGCTAAGAAAACAGGAGGCGGGGGAAGGCACCTGTTACTTTCCCCCCCAAAAGATAAGGGAACCTTCCGTGCCCCCTTCCAATTGTTTTATTTTGGTAAGAAATAAGAGTGCAAGTGAAAAAGTACTGCTAGGACACCCGAAAACCTGCCGTAACAAAAATATCAAAATGTGAAGCGATTGTTTCTGGGAATATCGTCCACCTAAGTCTGTATACTTCTGAAGGTGTTTCCATCTCTCTAATCTGTCTCCAAGGGGGTCCAGGTGGCCTGTGGTTATGAGTTGGGGAGCGATCGGCCAGGTCCACAGTTCAAAACCACCAGCCGCTCCTCTGGACAGAGACCGGGCTTTCTACTCAAATAGATAGCTAAGAGTTTAGAAAACTCACAGGGGCAGTTCTACCCTGTCCTACAGGGTTGCTATGAGTCGGCGGCGACTGGATGACGGTGGGTTTTGGGAGGTCTATGTCCTTCTGAAGACCCTGGGCCCAGCTCCCTAATCCTACCCCCAAAGAACTCTGTCCTGCGGCTGACAGCACGCCAAAGCCTTGGCAGAAGGGGACAGGACGCCGGAGAGGAGAGCGCTTTTGAGGGAATGGAAATGTTCTCTACCTTGATTTGGATGGCAGTTACTGGGTGGTATGTCTGTTTGTTTGCAAAACTCAGTAAACGCCATGTTTAAAGTGGGGAAACAAACAAAGACATCCAGCAGTTTGAACATCCTGGAGGGCCTCGAATCCTGTGTCCTTGAAATAGTCTTTGGTGGGGAGCGGGGAGGGAGGGGAAAAATGAGGACCTAATGTCGGGGGTTTAAGTGGAGAGAAAATGTTTTGAGAATGATGAGGGCAATGAATGTACAAATGCGCTTTACACAATTGATGTGTGTATGGGTTGTGATAAGAGTTGTATGAGCCCCTAATAAAATGTTTAAAAAAAAAAAAAAAGCAACAACAACAACAAAAAGATGCAAGAAACCCTTGAAACCCGCACCCCCCCCCCCAAAAAAAAGAAAAAGAAACAGTCTTTGAACTTGGGGCAACAAAACGAAATCTGAAGGGGCAAGATCAGGGATAGGGGGCAGATCAGATACGGTTTCTTAATCGCATTCCCCTGAGGTGGTTCTGAGGTGGGGGGGGGGGATCCTCAGCACAACTTTCCTGGGCTCTTTCCTCACCAATACAAACCAAACCCAAACAGAACCACGCCAAACCTCATGGCCTTTGAGTTGATGCAGACTCACAGCGACCCGATCACCCCGGATGGGGGAGAATTGCCCCGTGAGTGTCTGAGACAGACGCTTTCTGGGAATACAGAAAAAGTCTTGTCTTTCTCCCTTGGAGCCGCTGGGGGTTTCGATCTGCTGACCTTAAGGTTAGCAGGCTAATGCATAACCACTAGGCCACCAGGGCTCCTTACCAACAGTTTTCAATTCGGGGGTGGGGGTGGGGTACTTCAGGATAAGCTTCCGGGTTTGCCCTGTGTCCTTTGAGACAAGCTGCCAAACTGAGCCATTGTCGTCTCCTCAGCTGACCTCTCTGCCTTGAATTTAACTGGCCCAGAAAGTTCCTTTAGAAGCCACTTTTGATGAGAGTAAGGTAAGTGCTTGACAGACACACGGTCTGCAGCCAGCCAGGGATGGCGGGCATGCCTTAAAGCCTTTTGTTTGGAATAAACCCGGGGGATGTAGGAGCGGGAACCGTAGTAGCAGTACATTCTGACTCACCCTGGTCTCTCCAACATCTACCGAGTTGACCTTTCTTGCACCACCCTATCGATGTCACTGGCTAAGTGCCTCGTGCTGTCCAGCCATCATCACGCTCCATCTCCAATTTCTTCCACTGCTGTTCACGGAAACCTGTGTCCCTTATGTAGAGCTCCCCCCTCCTCCCCACAAGGGTGCTTGCTAGGCCCTGAGCTAAGAAGGCAGGAGGCTTGGGTTTCTGGGCACATGCCCACTCTAGATAAATCTGGTAAGGAGGATCAGCCAATGTTTACCCTTTTGTGACTGACAAGAGTTCCCTCACGGTGGTGTTTTCAAGGACTATCCCTGTGGTAAGAGGCCTGGTGGCCTGGTGTGAGTTACTCTCTTGGAAACTCACAGGGGGCAGTTCTGTCCTGTCCTACATGGTTGCTATGGTCTCGATGGTGGTGAGATCTGTCCTGTCCTACATGGTTGCTATGGTCTCGATGGTGGTGAGATCTGTCCTGTCCTACATGGTTGCTATGGTCCCAATGGTAGTGAGACACACTTCTGGCTAAGGGAGGAGTCAACCCTGTTGGTCACCTGGTAGCTTGATGACACCTCTTTTGGGCGTTGGGGGGGGGGGTGGCCTTTTGTAAGAGAGTGAGGTATTCTGGGAACTGCCTCTCGCTCTACCACTTTAGCTTCCTCCTTGCTTGGACGTCACTGGCACTCTGGCCTCCAGGGGTGGCCCCATGTGGGTCACTGACCCTGAGAACTGTGGGCACCCTGCCACGCTTCCACCCACCTTAGGTCCACAAGGCTGCACCCACTGGCCTGTAATCACCTTGCATTTTGCTTCACCTTTCTACGTTACCGGCCTGCAGCAATGCAAGCCTGAAGGGGCCCGGGCTGGCATCAGACCTATGGACTTGAGCTGGCCCGGGCTGAGATGCCTTCTTGGCATACCATCATCCTTGATATCATGCCCTTTCTTATACCTATCTGCCTGTCACTGGATTTGTTTCTGCAGACGGCCCGGCCCACCCTGCGAATGCGGCTGGGTTGGGAAAGTGGGTCTTGGAAGATGCACTCATGAAGCCCCCTGGATTAGGGGAGGCGGTAAACTGTCACTAGGGTCCTTAGGAGGGAGAGACGGAGCGGCTCAGTGGACACAGGTGGACAGGGAATGAAAGTGCGACAAGCTCAGGGGGTGGGGCATCACTGGGAGTGGGGGAGGCGGGTACCTCAGAGGGTTCCCTGGACACAACACCAACCGTGCAGCTTGTGGTGTGGCCTCCAGAGCTCTGAAAGAGGAGGGCTTCCTCGCTGTTCTCAGCTGCCCCAGTGGCACCAGGACATGAAGCCCTCGGTCTACCACAGGTTCCTCCCTGGCCCCCTCCTCTCGTGTCCCACGCCTCCTCTTACCAATGGCCCTGGAAACCGCCAAGGTCCCGTTGACTCTCCAGCAGTCCATGTGGGACACGAAGCCGCCCAGCGCTTCGATGCGCTCTTTCTCATCCTGTTGCGAGAGAGCCGGAGTCAGGGGTGCCCCCGGCCATGGTCCAGGTTGAGACACCAAGTTGGCTTAGAAGACAGAGCCCCAAACCACAGCAAGGAGACTGTTGGGAAGGACAGAGGCACACCGCAGGCACAGATTCTTAAAACACAGTGAGACATGATACATAATCTAGGTGTCTTTCAGTTCAAACCAAACTCGCTGCCATCGAGTTGGTGATGACTCATGGTGACCCTATCGGACACGGTAGAACTGTCCCTGTGAGTTTCCAGGACTGTAACTCCTCATGGGAGTAGAAGCCCCATCTTTCTCCCGAGGAGCGGCTGGTGGTTTCAAACCGCAGACCTTTCGGATCACAGCCCAATGCACCACCGCTATGCCACCAGGGCTCCTATATATAAGATAGGACACGAAAGTACGTAGCGTCAAGCCCCTCGTCAGCATGCGAGCGCAGCACAGAGAAGGATGGCTGGCAAAGCAGAGGTAGGTGCCCTGAGCGATAGTGCTGGCGAAGAGCACTAGCGCAGCTAAGTGGGAGTGGCCAGGGCAGAGACATGGAGGGGGGTTAGGGTAAGGGGAGAGGGGCGTGGGCATTTCTCAATCAACCCCTGGAGAAGGACATCCTGTGTGGTCAAGTGGAGGGGCAGCCGTCGAGAGGCAGGCCCTCCAGGAGATGGACGGACACAGTGGCTGCAGCATTGGGCTCAGGCACGGGAAGGGTGGTGAGGAGGGTGCGGGACCGGGCAGGGTTTTGCTCTGCTGGGCATGGGGTTGCCGGGTGCCAGAATTGACTCCATGGCACCTAACGAGACGATGACGACAACAAGGAACTGTTGCTGCCCGACCCCAGGGAATGAAGGCACTGGACGGCTCTGTGAGGTGGAGCCCGAGCCAGGGAGGACTCTGAGGCCCAGCCTTGCTGGAATCCTCTGGGGAGGGGGCGGAGTCCCACCAGGGGTCCCGCCTCTCCCCCACTGCCTGGGTGTGGCTTGCTGCTTTTACTCGGCTGCCCTGGGCCGGAGGGAGTGCCTGGGTTACCGTGACGTGGGGAGCTCTGGTGCCAACCTCTTACTTCGCCTGCCCCAGCAGCTCATCCTCAGCAGGGCTTCTGGCCTTGCATACCGTGTGAGGCCCAGGCCGGCCTGCGTGCTGCCCAGTGAGGGGATGTTCAGGGATGGAGTGGGGGTGGGGACCTTACCTGTCGCTCGGGCCTGTGGGCATCCATCAGCTCCACCACCTGTCCCTGCTGCACCAGGATAACCTGGGAGTCCCCGAGCCAGGCGATGTGCAGGGTGCCCCCAGCAATGAGGGCGCACACGCCCGTGGTGCCGCTCTGCAGCCGCTGCAGGGAGAGAAGGGGACAGGGCTGAGGCCACCTGTCTGCCCGCACAGCGGGGGAGCCCAGCACGAGCCCAGTCACATCTTCAGGGTGGGTCACTTTGACCTGGGAGGTTGCTGCCCACTTGGCCAACCTTGTGAGACTGGCCGAGAAAGGTCTGGAACCCAGAGAGCTCACTGGTGGGCGGAGGCCTCTCTGAGACATGAGCCACCCACCACTGCCCCCAGACCCTCTAGGTCAGTGGTTCTCAACCTATGGGTCGCGACCCCTTTGGGGGTTGAATGACCCTTTCACAGGGGTCACCCGATTCATAACAGTAGCAAAATGACAGTGATGAAGTAGCAAGGAAAATAATGTTATGGTTGGGGGGTCACCACCACATGAGGAACTGTATGAAAGGGTTGCGGCATTAGGAAGGTTGAGAACCACTGCTCTAGAATTATGTGGTGGTTTGAAACCACCAGCCGCTCCGTGGGAGGAAGATGTAGCCTACTGATTCTGTAAAGACGGACAGACTCTGAAAGCCCAGAGCCCCGACCTACCACGTGGCTCTGTGTCAGAACTGACTTGGCCCAGTAGGTTTGTTTTAGAGCCTTGGTGGCACACTGGATAAAGCGCCCAGTTGCCAACCAAAGACCCCTCCCCTGACCCTTGTGAGGAACTCGGGCTGTCACCAGGCCCAGTAGCCCCATGGGGGGCAGCTCTACTCTGTCCTGCAGGGCCACTGGGAGTTGGAGTGGACATGATGGCAGTGGGTTTTCAAAAATAAATCTATAGCTATAGGCCCACGTGGGCTTCTGAAAGTTCAGAAAAACTCCTTTATCTTTCAATTCCATTTCCCATCAACTTCCGGAAGCCTCCTTACATAATGAAATACTTCCTGTGACTTCCATGAATCCTTCAAGCCAATTACCAGACCCAACAGAGAAAGCGGGTGAAAGCAGGGTTGTCTGGAGCCTGTGAGATCTGCCCAGCCCTCGGGGGACAGAGTGGGCTGCGTGGGCAGGGGGCACCAGGAAAGATCGAGAAGTGGGAAGGTGGAGGCCTGAGCAGCCTCCACCTTTTGGGGACTGGACTGGTGCTAGTGCATATCCAGAAGGTCACGCACAAGACCTCAAACCCTTGAAGATGCAAGAAACTAGCCTGCAGTGTCAGAAAGCTGATGGGTGGCCCGCAGGGCCAGCCGGCAAGGTGGGAGGAAGCCTTTGGGTGATGGTGTGATAGTGACGTTTGAGACCAGGACTACAGTGATGAGGGTGTCTGAGTGTAGACTTGGGTCAAACCTCATCAAATAGCAAATCAAATCATACATGGTAAAGTGCACCCAAACACCAAGCTCACTGCCGTCAGGTCTGTGCTGACTCGCAGGGACCCTGCACACAGTTCTAAGACTGCCTCACCTTTCTCCCTGGGAACAGCTGGGAACAGTTTGGTTAAGAGCCGGTGCCTCACCCACAGCACCACAAGGGCTCCTTATATTTTATGCGTACGGTTTATTAAATGCCAATACAAGGAAAAGAAAGACAAAACACCAAGCAAAAT